AGACCCGCCTGGGCAACTTGGTGAGACCTCATCTCTACAATAAACCAAAAATTAGCCAGGCGTGGTAGCACGTACCTACAGTTCCAGCTACTTGGAAGGCTGAGGCAGAAGGATCGCCGGAGCACAGCAGGTTGAGGCTGCAGTGGCCAGGAGTGGCCACTGCACTCCAGTCTGGGTGACAGAGTGAGACTCCAACTCAAAAAAAAAAAAAAGGAGAGGGAGAAACCTTGGGCAAACACGATCATGGGATTTTAAGTTTAGCGAATAATAAGAATACATTTTAAAAAATTCAGAGAACGGCTAGGACGATACCATGACCTGAGACCAGGAACCCTTCCAAAACCAAAATCTGATAGCTAAAAAATACCCAAATCTCAGTTACTAATGAATCCTCAAGGGTTCTAGGTAGACATCATTTATCAATCAAAGCACTTCTTTCCTACAAGGCCCAATCTCAATCTCAAATTCTCTTTTACCCAGTATCCTAGTCAGCCATAATAAATTGAGCAAAGTTGGAACACAAGAAGAAACCCAAACGCTATCTCTAACATCGCAACACAGAGAACCCTTGGGGCTCAAATTGTAAAAGGACACGGACAAGAAATGGAAGGAGGGGTACAACATTAAGCCTAAATCCATAGTGGAAATGGGCTCACATGAATAATGGCAGAATGGGTAAAATCTAGGAGCTGAAGTTTGTTTAAAATAAAACAAAAACAAATTACTGGTTTTTTTTTTAAGAATTAGAGGAGGGGAAGTTTTTAAATACAGATGAGACGTAGGTGTCACGCTCAGGGAGATGATGGCATAAAAAGAGAAAGTCAGATTCTTCACCTACGGCATTTAGTTCCCTATCTTCATCAAGAAGAACAATCTTCACCGGAAAAAGAACAACTTGGTAAGAGAGTCTGAAAGTCCAGGATGGGGAGGAAGAACAGAGTCCCAGCTCCATGCCCAGCTATTGTTGGTGTCCCAGGGACCTAAGGAAACTTGCAGATGGGCTCAAGGAATCTCTTGGGTGATCGCTGAGCATCAAAGGGGAATGGGGGAAAAGCCAGAATATCAGAGACTGGCAAAGAGCATCCTGATTTTCAAAGATGGGGAAAAGCAACTTCCATTAAACCATAAGAGTGGAGAGCCTTCCGTTAACCTCTGCAGAGGCTAAGCTGCATTGTTAACCTGGCAGACTTCAGAGCACATAGGACGGGAAGCACCCAAAAAAAGCAACCAACTCAGCAGAAAAACAGACAGAGGACAGATGCAGGCAATTTGCTGAAGAGGAAATACAAGTAGCCAAGGAGGCAGGCACAGTGATATGTGCCTGTAGTCCCAGGTACTAGGGGGGTTGAGGTGGGAGGATCACTTGAACCCAAGAGGTCCAGGCTGCAGTGAGCTATGATCACGCCACTGCATTCCAGCCTGAGTGACAGAGCGAGACCCCCAGCATCGTGGAAATATCCATTAAGATCATCAGACACTTATTTATGTAGCATGTCATAGAATTAAAAAACTGATAATATCAATGATTGGCAAAGGTATGGAAAAATGACACTCTCACTGGTGGAATACTCAGCTTTCTTTAAAGGACAATTTGGTGGTATTGATTAAAATAAAAAATGTATTTTGACCCAGCAAAGACTCACACATGTAGAAGCTTACAGAAGGTTTTTTTAAATAGAGGACTTTTAAATACGGGTTTTTTAAATAAACTATGGTATGTCTACACCATGTAATATCATACAACAGTCGGCCAAAGTTAAAGGTGGCCTACATATACTGACATTGAATGACCTTCAAGATGTTCTCATTCATGCTTTAAGAAAGCATGAGAGAAACCCATACATTTCTATAAGTACATGGATGCATTTAAATGCATAGAAAAATTTAAAAGGATACCAATTAACCTGATAACAGATATTACCTGGGAAAGTGATTTGATAGCTTGTCTTTCTTTTTGCATTTTTTACATTAAAATGTCATTTATTGTATAATTAAATATATATACACATATTTATACAGTCAGCCCTCTGCATCTGTGGGTTCCATATTCAAGGGTTAAACCAACCACAGACTGAAAATATTAAGGAAACAAAAGGATAGTTGTGTCTGTACCAAACATGAATAGACATTTTTTCTTGTCATTATTCCCCAAATACAGTACAACTATTTATATAGCATTTATATTGTATCAAGTATTATAAGTAATTTAGAAATCTTTTTTTTTTTTTTAGTTGGAATCTCACTCTGTCACCCAGACTGGAGTGCAGTGGCCGCTCCCGGCCACCGCAGCCTCGACCTGCTGGGCTCCGGTGATCCTTCCGCCTCAGCCTTCCAAGAAGCTGGAACTATAGGTGCACGCTATCATGCTCGGCTAATTTTTTGATTTATTGTAGAGATGGGGTCTCGCCAAGTTGCCCAGGTGGATGTCGAACATGCAGGCTCAGGCAATCCACTCACCTCAGCCTCCCAAAGCGCAGGATTACAGGCTGAGCCACCGAGCCTGGCTTAGAAATGTTTTAAAGCATGTGTGTAGGTTATATGCAAATATACTATTTTATATAAGGGACTTGAGCATCTGAGAATTTTGGTATCTTCAAGGGTGTCCTGGAACAAATACTCCACAGATAGTGAAGAACAACTATATACATACACATATGTCATATGTATATGTGAGTGTGTGTGTATGTGTGTATTGTTATTATTTTTTGAGTCAGGGTCTCACTCTGCTGTCCAGGCTAGAGTGCAGTAGCATGATCACGACCTTTTGCAGCCTCCAACTCCTGCCTCAGTCTCTCAAGCAGCTAAGACTACAGGCACATGCCACCATGCCTGGCTACTTTTTTGTAGAGATGAGGTCTTGCTATGTTGCTTAGGATGGTCTCGAACTCCTGGGTTCAAGCAGTCCTCCTGCTTTGGCCTCCCAACGTGCTGGGATTACAGGTGTCAGCCATCTTGTCCAGCCTGCACATACGTATTTTGAAAGAATGAAAAATAAAGACGTGAAAAGAGCAAACATTTGGGACTAGGATGTGCACTCAGAGTAAGACATGTCAGACTGTCCCAGTTCCCTTCTACTGGGACGATGATGGAAATGCCAGTGACACTGTGACTGACACCCACAGGCTATCAGCAGAGCCTTTCATAAGTTATCACAAATATAAGAGAAAAACTCAGGCTGAATGACAATGCTGGAAGGTAGAGTCACAACTAACTGAATACCTAAAGAATTACTAATTCAGGGCCCATGGGGAAGCTGCTAGGGCAGTCTTTGGTCCTTGTCCTGTTCAATGTATTCATTCATTCACTCATTCTTTCTTCCAATTTCTCATTTACTCAATAGATATTTGAGAGCTTACTATGTGCCAGATGTTCTGCAGAAAATATAAAAATGACCCTTGCCTGAAGCCTAGGATACTGAAAAGTAGACAGAAGGGGAGGGAAAAACCAGCATGAAAAATGCCCAGAAGCCCCAGAGGGTAGGGCCTGACTCCAAGCTGGCCTCCACATCTCCAGAAAGAGAACATGAAGCTAGGAAGTTCCGTGAATTCTCAAAACCACAAGTACACTAGTTGGGAAAAGTTCACAGTCTCAACACAGCATGTGAAATCCACTCCCAGCCTCTGAAAAGTTCCATCCTTAGGGAGGGGGAGAACATGTTTTAGCTTTGCAGCCTCACTGAAAGAACTCAGTCAAAGAGAGAGCAAGGTGTCAGGATAGAGAAGAACGGGCCGTGTCAGATGAGGATCCACTAAAGGCATCCTCTTTCCAAGAACTAGTCTGATCTCGCTCTCTCTCCCTGAGCCCCTGACTCTACTCATATTCCAACAGACTCAGGAACCTCAAGATCTGATCCTATCCTTCATTGGACCACTCAAGGGAGCAGCTGGAAAATCACACCTAGATCAGCCCCTGCAACATGATAGGAAGTCTGAGGCAGATTTTTAGTTTGCAAGACTTTTCTTGCCTGCCCAACCCACCCACCCCCAATCTGATGCCCCAAGGTTGTCCCTTCCACCATAATAAGAAAAACTGTGGGGCCAGGCACAGCGGCTCATGCCTATAATCCCAGCACTTTGGGAGGCCGAGGTGAGAGGATTGCCTGAGCCCACGGGTTCAAGACCAGCTTGGGCAACTTGGCGAGACCTCATCTCTAAAATAAATTTTGAAAAATTCACGGGGTTTGGTGGCACATGCTTGTATTTCCAGCTACTTGGAAGGCTGAGGCGGAAGTATCGCCTGAGCCCAGCAGGTCAAGGCTGTGGTAGCCATGAGCATACCACTGCTCTCCACCCTGGGTAACAGAGTGAGACTCCAACTCAAAAAAAGAAAAAAAAAAGAAAAACTGTGAGGCACACATATGCCACTTCCCAAGACTGTGGAGCCCACGTGGTCATTTTGCCTTCCAGGTCTTAGTGCTTCTGTTCTGTGGAGAAAGTAGACTAGATACCTTCTAGGGTAGGAGTCCCCAACCTTTCTGGCACCAGGGACTGGTTTCGTGGAAGACAATTTTTCCACGGACCCAAGTGGGTCATCGGGCATTAGATTATCCTAAGAGGCATCCAGCCAAGATCCCTCGCACGTGCATTTTACAATAGGATTTGCGCCCCTATGAGAATCTAATGTGGCCACTGACCTGACAGAAGGCGGAGCCCCTGCTGTGTGGCCCAGGTCCTATCAGGCCACAGACCAGTGCTGGTCCACAGCCTGGGGGTTGGGGACCCTGTTCTAGGGGACCGTCCAGCTCTGCCTGGTAACATATGTGAGCTGTTCACACACTCTCTTCCTGGAAGTATCCATTGTTATGGAGGATTTCAAAGAGAGGCGAATGCTTAATACAAGTGAGTGAGCAGTGGAATTTCAGGCCCCCAAGAGGATTTATCCAGATGGAAGTACTCCAGGAGGGACCGGCATCAGGACTAACCTCTTGAGTGACGATCGAGACAGCACCTGGGCAGCCTGGTTCATGGCCCTGACCCAAGCATTCATGTCCTCCTGCGTGTCGGCACTGAAGTAGTAGGTCCTCATGCCCGAGTGCTCGGCCTGAGAGCCCAGGGTGGTGCTGTTGTAGATGAGCGCTCGCATCCCTGTGTGCACAGCCTGCAGCATGGAGATGGAAACACGGGTTAGAGGTTAGCACACACTGCCCTCCTAGGACAGAACAAGGGCATGGTGGCCATGTTCTCCCCTTCCAGACTCAAAGCCCAAGCACCACCCAGCTTGTCTCTACACCTGGAAAACGTCATGGGCTGAGTTCTGCTTTCTTAGTGCAGTCAGACCCAGTGACAGGTGTCTGTTTCTCACAGTAACAGCCCTGCAGCTGTACCTGGATCCCATTGACCTTACTCCTGCTTGGGGTGAGAGAGGGGAACAGAGTCAAAGCTCATGTGAGAAACAGACTTTCTGGAAAACCTTCGTTTCACAGAATCAGACACTTGGGGAATCCCTGTTTGGTTTTTCTGAAGCCCGTGATTCCAGCTTTGGCTACAATCAGACTAGAACGGAATAAAAATCAGCTGCAGTAGCAGGTGGCTTGGTGTGGATTTTCACTGTGCTTCCCTGTTTAGGCGTGAAATGTGATGTGTGCTCAGCCAAGAAGCTGCTGTTCTGCCTCTCCAAAAGAGGCACTACAGAGCTAGCCAGAGCTGATCGATAGTTGATGAAATGTTCTTGCACACCTACTATGTGCTTCTGCCCTCACTCAGGGTGCTTTCACGTGTATCCGGGAGAAAGGTACTGGGAACAATCACGGAAAAGTGATTAGCTGGTTTACAAACTGGAGGTAACACCAGTTTTTCCCCTTGTGCTCTGATAAAACAAGGGCCTCTCTTTTAAATATGCAAGGAAAATTTCACCAAATCTATACAGGAAGATGTTGTGTGAAGAGGAAGCTTCACCGAGTACCTACTGTGTGTCTCCCTAGTCCTTCCACAACTTTAATCTCATTTAAATCCCGACAGCCTTGAGAGACAGGGACAGAATCTCATTTACAGAAGTGGCAAAGGAAGTTTTAAGATGCTAACTAAGTAACGTTCCCTGATTTCCACATCTGGTAACATTCTTTACAGCACTTACTATTATCAGATGTTATTTATCGTACTCTTGTTTATTACCTCTTATCATGTCTCCTCCCCCTATAAGTGCCATGACAGCAGGAACTTTGTCTATTTTGTTCATTACTCTATCCCCAGAAACAGTGGCTGGCACATAGGAGGTGCTCAATAAATACTTGCTGAATGAATGAATGAAGAGTTGAAGCCCAGGTCTGACTTCAAGTCCAGGCTTCTCTGTATATGCTCCCAGGTTCCATCCAGAAATGAGGGTGATTATACAGATCACTGATCCAATAATCTGGATCCAGAATGAAAGGCAGACCCCATGCAAGGGCCAGAGAAAACTAAATGAGAACTAATTAAAAGTTGAAAAACGACACACTTCTAAAATCACTAATGGTCATGGATGAAAACCTCTCAGATGGGCCTGAGCCATTTACTTCTCCTCCTCACACTCTTAACAGCCGGGTCCAAAATGCATGTGAAATGCAGGCCGCCCTGACAGTCATACACATGGGTCTATCCAGCCCAGTGCCAAGGGAGTCTAGGCAAACTTGGTCTGCAGCCAAGAGTCTCTATTGTGGCCAAAGCAAACCTGATGTCCTTCCTTGGCATGCATAAGGTGTCATCCACTGTACTGGGAAGGATTTCTTCTACTTTAAGCAAGATGGAGATGTTGCAACAAGAATGAAAAAGAGGTTGTGCATGTCTTACTATAAATCAACAGAAACTGTTGGAAAAATTCCCCTGAACAATTCCTCTGAGATCTCTGACATACTCTGCCCCAGCCTTCTGCGCCCAGCTACAGAAGGATCTGGGACAGGAACCCGTTCCTCCAGACACAAGCATAGGAAGCCCTCCAAGGTACAACAGAGAGTTGAACCCAGCTGTACAAGACTCCATGGAGCCAGTCTTGTCCAGGGCATACCTCAAGCATGCGGTCATGGGGTTTGCATGTCTGTCTGCAAACAAGCCTTGAGAGTTACATCCATCATCACAAAGGAGTTACCCACGATTGCAAAAATAACCTTGTTCACTGATCAAACTGCCAGCAGGTGCTGTGCCCAGCTGTTTTTGGCTCTAACACGTTCTCAGCTGCATTCTGCCTATGCTGGGCATATTAGATGTATTAACTATGAAGGCAACAAGGACAAGGAGTTTCCTTCTCACTCGGCCAAGTGACCCAAGTCCAAAGTGCTCTGAGCCCGAGGAAGTTGCCAGAGCCCAGATGATGGGAATCTTCTCACTCTCACTCTAGGCTCATCTCGGAGATGGTCTGTTTTTATGGTCTGCTCTTTGCTTTCCAGTTAATGCAACTCTACCAGGCAACTCTGAATAACTGAACAGAAACCAGGCTACATCTAAAGGAAATAAGGATGCGTGCAAGGAAGTGTTTATATCAAAGACATAATACCCTGGCATATGTCTGCTCTGCTGACTCCTGTACCTCAGGCCTAGACATAGCACTGGCAAGGGAGCCAAAATCCGCATGGCTCAAGCTCAATGTCAACCTCTAGAAGTGAGAACTTTCGGTGGGAAACTAGGTGCACCCAACTGGCCAGGGCCCATCAACTAATTGACTCTTTCAAACCTATCCAACAATAATGGATCAATTACTGAGTGTTTACTATGTGAAAGGCACCATATTACAAGTTGGAGGGACAGCCTTAAACAAGGCCATGACAGTTTACAGCCAAGTCGAAAAGAAAGACCAGACACAAGTAACTATGACTGTTGTAAGTGTCATCAAGAAGTTGAGGATGCTGTGAAAGAGGATAACAGGGAATGGCCTGACCTGGAGAAGGACTCAGCTGACGAACTGACAGCTTAGCTGCCTTTTGCATGATCAACAGCTATTTAAGGAGAAGCGGTTTAGGAGATGGGCAAGACGCTGAGAAGGGCAAGAGCATGCTGTGTGTTCGTCTGCGTGATTGGCGCAGAGGATGGAGGGATGGGCAGCGTGAAGGGAGGCTACGGAAGCTGGCAGGGCCAGATCACCAGGGACTTACAGGTGATGGCAGGGTTTTTGTCTTCATCAAAAGAGCAATGAGAAGCTAATGAAGGGTTTAGGCTGGAGCCTGGTATGATCAGACTCTGTTTGGAAAGACCAGCCTAGCCGCAGCATAGGGAAGAGGTGAGAGCCAGCAAGTGAAGGGAGATGGTCATGAGGCCACTGCAGGGGCGCAGGTGAGAGATGGTGGTGGAGGCAGAGAAGGGGAGGAGTGGGTAGAGTCTGGAGAGAGCAAGCCAGTAAAACCAGCAGACCTTGGGGAGGGCCTGGATATGGGAGGTGAGGGAGCAGCCAGTGTAAAGGGTACAAGTCTCAGGTTTAAAACCTGCAAAGACAGTGGCGCCCACGTGCTGAGATTGAGGAATCCCATGTCCAACCCCCAGGCTACCTACAAGCAGCACAGTGAACAGGGTGAGAACTTGGGCTCTTGGAGTAAGCCTGAGGTCCAAAGTAGTCTCTGCCACTTACCCACTGGGTAGCTCTGGGTAAACTGCTCAACCTCCCTGTGTGTCTGCTTGTTTCCTCATCTGTAAAATGGGACTGTGGCTGGGCACGGTAGCTCTCACAACTGTAATCCCAGCACTTTGAGAGGCCGAGGCAGGAGGATCACTTAAGGCCAGGAGTTCAAGACCAGCCTGGGCAACATAACAAGACCTTGTTTGCAAAAAATAAAATTAAAAAATTAGCCAGGCATGGTGGCACATGCCTGTAGCCCTAGCTACTTGGGGGGGTGGGGGCAGGGAGCTAAGGCAGGAGGATCACCTGAACCCAGGAAGTTGAGGCTGCAGTGAGCCATGATCATGCCATAGCACTCCAACCTGGGTGACAGAGTGAGACCTGGACTCAAAAAAATTGAAAGAAAAAAAAAGACTGTGGGTAACAGTAGTGTTTACCCTCTAAGTCCATGTGAGAAGGAAATGAGATCATGCACACACAGGGCTCAGGGCACAGCCTGGCATTTGTCTAAGGCTACCAAGATGGCAGCTGATATATTACAGGAAGAGTCACTGGAGCAACCTAGGGAGGTTGACTGAAAGAGTTCTCTGGAAACTTTAAGAGTCTTCTTCCTTCCCACCCCATCAGTAACCTACAAGGGACTAACTATAAAATACAAGTAAGTGTGAATCTCCCATAACTTGAAAAGCGTAAGCACTGCCATTGACATGATTCCTATTACAAATGACTGCTCCGTGTGGTCTGTCTGTAGAATGGAACTAGCCCTTCTACTCAGGCAGAACTAGCTGGTGAATTAGTTTTCCCAGGAAAAGGTCTGGATAGGTGAATCAGTCATGCACAGTTCAATGACACAGAGCTGTGAAATGCAGAGGAAGTGGGTACCTAATCTGCCCAGAGGGCTCAGGGAAGGCTTTTCAGAGCAGAAAACTCAAGGACAGGTAAGATGAGGAAAGGGCACGCAAGGCTGTGGCTGGAGTTTAAGCAGACCTTTGTGTGAGAGTAAGAAATGTCCTGGGGCCTTTGGGCAACTGTATTTGGCTAGAGGGAAGGTATAAGATGGACTGGCTAAAAATGTGGCTGGAGAGATAAGCTGGGCCTTTAAAATCAAGACTGGGTTTTACCCTGCAAACAATGTGGAAACACCAAAGGGTTTATGGTAGGATCACAACCTGAACAAAATGTGCAACCTGAGAATAGTGTGGGGGGTGGGTTCGAGGCTTCAGGAGTTTGAAGGCTGAAGCGGTGACAGCCAACACTTACGGAGCATTTACTATGTATGAGGCACTGTTCTAGTAGTGAGTTACCCAAGAGAGGGAAGGTGGTGGCCAAGACAGAATAGTGGCAGCAAGCTGGGCTCGGTGGCTCAGCCTATAAACCCAGCACTTTGGGAGGCTAAGGTGAGTGAATTGCCTGAGCCCGCGAGTTCAAGACCTGCCTGAGCAACTTGGTGAGACCTCATCTCTACAATAAAATTTTTAAAAAATTAGCTGGGTGTGGTAGCGCGCCTGTAGTTCCAGCTACTTGGAAGGCTAAGGCTTAAGGATCGCCGGAGCCCAGCAGGTCGAGGCTGCAGTGGCCGGGAGCGGCCACTGCACTTCTGTCTGGGTGACAGAGTGAGACTCCAACTCAAAAAAAAAAAAAGAATAGTGGCAGCAGTGGTAGAGAGGGGGAGGTGAACTTGAGAGAAACACAAAGGACACAATGGAACAGGGAGAGGAAAGAGGTGGCTCTCTGCTGTTGTCTTCTCATCCTCTAATAACCCACAGGTGGATACATTCTCTAGAATATAAGCCCTACGAAGGCAAGGATTCCATCCTGTTCACTGCTGTATCCCCAGCAGCTATATCAGGCCTGGCAGACTATCAGAGAACAATACAAGTTTACTGAATAGAATGAAAGAAGTGAAAAACCACGTCTCTTGGCACATCCTCAGCCAGAATCTAGAGCGGGGGTCTTAATATTTTTTGTAGCATGGACACTCTTGACAGTTTGGAGAATCCTATGACCCATTCTCAGAATATTAAGCGCACAAAATAAGGAAAATAAACCAAATCGAAATACAGTTATGCCGGGATCGGTGGCTCATGCCTGTAATCCCAGCACTTTGGGAGGCCAAGGTAAAAGGATTGCCTGAGTTCATGGGTTCGAGACCATCCTGGGCAACATGACAAGACCTCATTTCTACAATAAATCAAAAAATTAGCTGGGCGTGGTGAACTATAGTTCCAGCTACTTAGAAGGCTGAGGTAGAAGGATCACCTGAGTCCAGCAGGTCGAGGCTGTGGTGGCTGAGTGTGCCACTGCACTCCAGCCTGGGCGACAGAG